GAGAGGCACATGGTTTTGTCGTCGCCCACGCCCTGTTCGCGCCCATGGCCGCCCACGCCCTGCCCGCACCCCGCCCACGCTGCGCTGCTCCCCGCCTTGCCTTCTTCTACACGGCCCCGGGCTCCTTCCTCCCTCTCTGCGTGCGTCTCTCTCTCTCGACCTCTCCTTCTCTCCCTCATTTCCACTCGGTTGGAGCTACCATGGTCGCCATGGAGCTCAAGCTCGCCACCACCGTTCCCGCCGCTCCGTCACTTCCTACGCTCGACTGCCCGCACCACCGCCTCCGCCTCGCTCCCCATTGTTCCCCCATGCACGCACGCCGCGGCCACATTGCCAGGAGCTTCCGCGGCCCCTGCTCGGACCACCACCGTCATCATGCGCATAGAAGCCAGGCAGCCGCCTGCCCTCGAGATCGGAGCGGCCGATGAGCACGCTGTCTGGTCTGTGCCGTGCAGTCTTGTCTTTTTCACCGGCTGCCTTGCCCTGCTACGCCGCTGCCGCCTACTATGGTCAGCCGAAAGCGACCACCGGTGGCGTGCTTTGGCTGCCACTGGCTGTTGTTGGCTGGGCGAGGCTAGGCATAGGTGCAAAGCCGCCCGCCATGCCATGTGATCGTGCAAGCAGCCCCTCTTTGCGGCAGCAGAAGCCACGGCCGAAATCGGCCACCCCGAGCACCTCCTCTGCTCCGTTTGCGTAAGGAAGAAGAAGAGAAGAACCTCGGGGTGAGAATAGAAGCTTTTTTAGGGTTCATGTTGTAAAAATGCAAGAGACAAACAAAAGGTGGGAGGAATTATTTTGATTTCAAAAAACTTCCAGGTCCCCGACGAAAAATCTATTTCTTTTATGCATAAATAGGCAAAAACTTCAATAAATTGTAGAAAATTTCAAAAAATGCCAAACTTGTTTTGTTGCACTCCTCATGACTAGATCTATGCAATAGATTTATAATATCATGTGCTTTAATATAAAGTTTTTGTTTTATTGTAATCTAGTCTTTATGTTTATTTATTAGAGGATGTTCTAGTAATCCAAATGCAGTGAAATTTTTATGGTAGACTAGTGTTGATGTGTGTGTGCTGCAGTAAAAATTTCATGTCTAGTGAATGCATATTTCCTGAGTTATAGATTTATCTTGTAATATGCTTGTTTAATGGTTTTAAAATAATTAAAAGTATGCAAAAATAGAAAATATGTGTCCTCTATGTAGTGTTTTTGTTGTTATGCCTAATGAACCTATAATATGGCTTTGGTGTTAGAGAAGATATTGTGTTATAGATTTATCATATGTCACATGCTTTTATTGCCTTTAAATCTTAATTAACTGCTAGTAAAAAAATCTGCGTATCCTAAAATTATGAATTTTATGCGGTGCTTATGTTTAGTTAAGATGTATCAACCATAACTTTTTCATGTCCAAAAGAGATGTTTGGTGCGCCACCTTTTTATTCCTTGGTTGTAATTATTTAAGGTTTTATATATATGATAGGTGTTTAGATTAGAGTTAATATATGTTTGTCTATGCTACTTGTTTTACATGATGACTAGGCAAAGTGTGTTTAGTAAGTAGAAGTGTTCTTGGCTTGTTTGACTTAAGCATGCATTGCATTCATGCATACCGTTTAGGTACAATGATGGTTGATGGATCGATTGATGGCCTATGGAGTTGAACCCGAAGCCAGTGTAATGTGACCACATCCAGAAAATGGAGTTGGTTGGATCACGTCCCGAAGATGGAGCCAACTAACTTAGTGTTAATAAGTTACCTAGGCAAGCCCCGATGCATAACCCATATTTTTTATGCACATATTACTATGTGTGTGGATTAAGTTTTAGGAGTTGTTTGAAACCCACCCGCATAAATATATTATCCTATGAGTCCTACTAGTATGATAGGATCGTGTAGTATGCCATGCTATAGGACTTACGGTAGAAGTCGAGTGATGGGTTGTCACTCACGGGAAATAGGTTCTGGTTATACTGTTACTGCTATCACATGGTTTGGATATGGAAAATAATTGGAGACCGAGCGGAAAGAGGAAAAATGGATTTTTTTAATGGTTGCTGGGTGCCGCGGGGCCAGGTTCTGGGTACCTGTTTTCCCGCCTGTGTCGATTAAGGATCGTTCGTTGGTGGCCATTTGATAGGTTTGAAGGTACCGAACACATAACAGGGGCCTTAGTTATAGTTGACCGTGAAGCTTAGTACTTCCTTATGACCAAGGTGCACAAAACGTTTACTAGAGTGTTTCTCTGGCCATTCTAGCGGCTGTTTTTGGGAGGGGAGTGTCCATGGACCAAACTTATGAGGGGAAACCCATTGCCGGTTCGAGGGATGGGCCTCATAGGGTGGGTTCCCCAAGGTGGTCAGGTCATTTCAGGCCTTGGTCATATAGTTGGAATGGTTGCCTTGTACATGCTCTATCGAGAGAAGTACGAACGTGTGTTTGGGATTGCCCAGCTGGATATACATGGATTGCAATTGCCGCCCTCCTCGGATATGGATACTACTTGTCATTTCACTATCATCGTAGTTAATACAACTGGAATATGGAGATGATGAGGCTTCTGCCGGATGATGAAAATATTCTGATTGCTTTCCATATGCTTGTAAATAGTTTAGGTGCTTGCATAGAATTGCTAATAAACTTGATGTGATTGCTAAAACCTTAAATACCAGGGTGCACTATTAGTAATGCTTCTCTGCAAAAATAATTAAATAGCTAGCCAAATAGCCCCCTGCATATCCTTGAGAGTTAGGAGACTACTCCCACCTAGTCGGGTAAGTCTTGCGGAGTACATTGTGTACTCAGGGTTTTATTCCCCCTGTTGCAGGTAGTAGGTGGATGCTTGAACTAACAGTTGCTATGTGTGGATACCTCCTGATGGGCTCAGCGAGGCTTCCTTTATCGTCACGATTGTAGAAGTTTTACTCTTATATTCCTACTTCTGCTTCAATATCCAAAACTGTTTACTTCCGCTATTTTTGTATACAATGACCTTCCTTCCACTGTTTTTGTGAAATCTGTTTTAACTCTAATTTTATAATCTTGTGATGTATGAAATAGTTAATAAATGATGTAAGCTTTATTCACTTATTTATGATTATGATTCTGATGAAAACATGGATTTTCGAGTCCTCTTGTGGGGTGTACTCGACAGACTACTGGGTTTAACTTGGTCTCTTATGTATTTAGTGTAAAATTGCTGACAAGTACATTTGGGATTAGGTTAAATTGGGCAGTTCTGCCACAAAGAACATCATGAAAGTGATTCTTTTTCTCTTAATAATAATCTAGACAACAATAAGAACAAGCTTAGTTCGAATTACCTATTTACAACTAAAATCAAACATGAACTAAATATTGCGCCTCACCTCGTTGCAGTAATTGGAGTAGAGGAAGAGCTTCCACAGGCTGCATGTGCCAACTTTGATGGTCCACATGAATTTGATCTAAACTTTGAACCTTCTGATCTGCAGCAACAGATGCATCAAGTTCACGGTAAGCTTACGACCAGCTAACCTTTTCCTTTTTAATGGATGAATAGACCTGTTGTTATTGTTCTTCTATAGAGAAAATTATCAGCTTCTACAGCTGCAGCCTACTATAGATTTAGTACAACCCATACCCATGTGACAATAGATTTTTCAACAGGTTAATGTCTGTCCACCATATATAAAATATTTTTCACCTAGATCAACATGATATGTACGGCCATAATACAATCTGTGTTACAATTACAAGTCTTTGTTTCTTGTATAGATAATTATCTCCTGCTCGTAAAAACCATTCATAGCTTATACCAATAATTAGTTACTTGCCATATGTGAACCAAAAATTGAATTAAGGGCCTATTTGGCACAACTCACGACTGACTTCATGAGCTGTGGTGAGCTATTTTATTGCCAAACAATTATTTCTAAAATAGCTTCACCCATAAAGTTGTTTTTCTCCCCTCTCACAAAGACATGAGTTGGGATGAAGCTAGAAAAAGTATGTTATCCTAGCTCTCCTCATTTCTCTCTCCCATCCATGTATGAAGTTGTTGGTGAAGTTGTTTTGCAGACAGTTTTTCCAAAACATTTCGACTTCACTTAGAAAGTTGCTCATGAAATTTGTTTTCCAAAAAAACAGCTTTACTAGTGAAGTTGAGCCATGCCAAACAGACCATAAATAATACACAATTGCCATCTTTTTGCTTCAACTTAGCACTAATTTTTGTAGATTACTTACCTGGTGTTCAACCACAATTCTAAAAGAAAATTAACACTTAGAAATGTGCACCAATTGCTCCACAACTCACCATTTAATTCTTTTCTAGGCATGATGGAGGACATGCATGACTATGGTGTGTATCTGACGCTGTGGACATAGTCTTTGATGAAGAGGAGTTGGATGACTCGGATGTTGAAGAAGATCACCTTGTAAATGAAAACAATGCACATCAGTCTAGAAATTTGACAGATACTCAACGATAACAAATCTATGCAGCATTGCTTGAGATAAGTGATCGTGGAAGACTAACAAGGAAAGCTACAACCATAGTAGCACAAATATTCCAGGTGAGCAGGTATAAAGTGCAGTTCATTTGGCAGCGAGCAAAACAATGTCATGCCCAAGGAATGCCAGTTGATGTTCAGCCTGTTCGCTTGCTGGTTTCTGCCAGGGCTTATCAGCCATGATACAGTGTTTTCCTCTCACAACAAACCAGCACCAGCTGGGCTAAAGGAAGCCTAAGAAAAGTGGTCGCAAAAGGTTGCAAATAGACCTATCTGAGTTTTTTAGTGTTGGGTTGCATAAAAGAAGCACTATTCGATCTCTAGCTACTGCCATTGGTGTCAAAAAGAGCACTCTACATAATTGGTTCAAGGAAGGGCTACTACGACGTCACTCTAGCACACTAAAGCCTCTATTGACGGAACAAAACAAAAGAGACAGGCTCCAATGGTGTCTTAAGATGTTAGATGATCGGACACTACCACATGAACCCAAGTTCCGTGCAATGGAAAACATCATCCACATGGACGAGAAGTGGTTCAACACCACATCAAAGTACAAGAAGTATTATATGCTTCCAGGAGAGAACGACCCACATAGGACCGTGCAAAATAAGAATCATATTGGCAAAGTTATGTTCTTGTCAGCAGTAGGAAAACCTATGTATGATGATGAAGGTAACATCTTTGATGGGAAGATAGGAGTGTGGCCATTTGTTAGAAAGGTACAATATCACCTTGTTTCAGTTTCTTACATTAGTTTGTGCCAACACTTTTGATCCTTAATTTTTTTGCATTGACTCTAGGAACAAGCCAAAAGAAGAAGGGGGAGAGGGACTCAAGTAACCAAGCCTATTAAGGTAGGTCGAACTACTATGAGGTCGTACCTGATTGGTAAAGTTCTACAAGCTATTGTTCGACGGTGGCCACGAGAACTTAGAGGACAAACCATATGGATTCGCAAGATAATGCCCCTTCACATGTGCCAGTAGATGACGCAGAATTCGCTGCTGCTGTAGCACAAACAGGGCTGGACATACGACTCGTCAACCAACCTGCAAACTCCCCAGATTTGAATGTAGTAGACCTAGGATTATTTGCTTCTCTTCAGTCCTTAACCTATGAAAGGATCTCTAGGAACTTGGATGAGCTGATTCAAAATGTCCAAAATGAGTTTGATAACTATGATCCGGATACTTTGAACAGGGTATTCCTAACACTACAAGGGTGTTTGGTTGAGGTGATGAAAGATGGAGGAAACAAATACAAAATTCCTCACATCGACAAAGACAGGCTGCAGGCGTGAGGCATGCTTCCTAAAAGCCTTAGTTGTGACCGACAACTATACGAGGATGTGGTCGCATCCTTGGGACACTAATCATGCACATGATGACCCATATATTCCTCAGAGTATTTTGGTGCTGCTGTAATATAAAGTCATGACCATTTCGCTAGTGCTGTAACATAAAGTCACGAGTGTTTTGCTGCTGCTGTAATACGAAGTCATGAGCATTTTGGTACTGCTGTAATATAAAGTCATGAGCATTTTAGTACTGCTGTAATATAAATAAATAAAGTTGTAACTTTGTATGGTGTGTCGTTACTGTTGACTATGGTGGTCCTGCTATAATTTCAGAAACTTGTCTAGGACAGAAAGTTCTCCCAATATTAATCAAATTGACAAGTTCGGTATAGTTTGCATACAGAGAATGGAACTACTCCTACATCTACAAAGCGAGTGTTAGCTGCAGCTTAAGGAGCAGCAGCACCGTCTTTTTCGTTCTATACTGAATTGGGCATGGAATTGTACTAGTGATACACAAAATTAAATTGGGCATGGCATTGTACTGTTAAATGATTGGAAAAAGCGCATTAAACTAGACACACCAAAGAATGTCGTACAGATTTATAAGAACAAAATATTCAATAGCTAGGATAATTCTTAGTCACGACATGTACCATTACATAGCAGTTCATGACATCCCACACCTAAACTACAGTTCAGAATCACAAGCAGTAACCTGTACAGCAGTTTATCATATCCCACACCTAAATAACAAGTCATTGTCACAGCTAACCTATATAGGAGTTCATAATCGCACAACAAAAGCATTCCCACATCAAGAGCATTTATCATATGCACTCCATGACACACGTAAAGCCATATTGTTGGTGTTTCGAGTAAACACCAACGAGTAAATTTGTAATATTGCGCATCTGACCCGGATGGTGTGCTAAGAGGACACAATGATTATATTGGTTCGGGCCAAATGTCCCTACGTCCAGTTTCGGGGGCTGCTCATGTTACTAGCACTGAGTTTGTAGTAGGGGATTACAAAATGGCAAGAGAGAGAGGAGCTCCCAAGTCTCTGTGGTTCGATTGCTTGATGCTTCTATTGCTCGATCTATCGATCGATCGATCGCTCGGTCGATCGATCTCTATGAACGGTGCCCTGCCTTCCCTTTTATAGACCAAGGGGAGAGAACATGATACTCGAGACTGAGAGAAGGGAAGAGGAAAAAAAAAGAGAAATAAGGCTTCCGGGGGTGTGCCGTCCTCCTCTTCGCGTGGGTCCCGCTGACCCTGTAGATCATCATGGCAGCGGCGTCGCACCAGGGTCTTGTTGGTCGCTGTAGCATACGTGCGGGCGTCGTGCGCCGTTCTTGCCTTCCATCCCATCCGAGGGGACGGAATGGTCAAAGGGTCCCCTGACAGAGGCCATACGGGGGGCTGACGGTACAGTGCCAGTCAACTGATGCCGGTCGAGTAATGTTGGACGGTGGTCAGGGAGTTGGCAGTACAGTGCTGACCCGTTGACACGGTGGGCAAAAGTGAGTCTCCTAGCATGGCCTGATGCGACCGCTAGTCGCATCAAGATGCGCCCAAGACGTGCTCCTGGGCATGCGCCTCAACGCCGTAGTGGTTGAAGCGGTTTGGGTCCCACCCTACGGCCACTGCTTTTGTCCGGTAGCAAATCCAATCCCTAGGGAATGGACGAGGCGGAAATCTCGCCCTAGGGGCTGGGCGAGACGGAATCTGACCCTCGGGGGTCGAACGAGGCAGAGCCCTCCCCGTGGGATTGGACGAGTTGGAGCCCGCGCCCTAGGGTCGGAGGAGTCGGAGCCCACGCCTTGGGGTCGGACGAGGTGGAAACCTCGTCCTCGGAGTCGGAGCCCACGCCTCGGGGTCGGATGAGGCGAAAACCTCATCCTCGGAGTCGGACGAGGCATGGCCCGGCCCCTGTGGGATAGATGAGGCCGTAGTTGCGTCCTTAACCATCGGATGAGCCGACGTGACGCTCGTTAATCCTTTGGCTCGGATACCCGGATATAGATATCCGACACATATAAACTAGGGAAGGAAGAATATAGGTACCAAAATCTTATACATGCTGATGAAGACCTCAAGGTAGATGGGATCCATGTTAGCAAGCACCTCCTTGAAACGTGCAGCCGCTTCCGGGGTTAGGTCCATCTCTGAAGCCTCGCTCGTGGCCACCAGCGGAGGTCCGAGGGGCAGAACCTCATCGGCAGCCCCGTCACCGGACACCGGAGGTCCGAGGGGTAGATCGTCGCTGGCGGCCTTGTCATTAGCCACCGGAGGCCCCTCCACGAACAGATCCACCCTGTTCATGGCACCTTCCACAAGTAGACATGCCGAAACAAGGATTATAAGAGGAACAGGAACTAGGAAACCAGATTTGCAGAGATGTTGCTTGATCTGGGCAGGGTTGGGGGGCTCCGGATGGGGACTGAACATGGCTGGTGCGGGGGAGGCTTAGGCGGAGGATGCGATGCGGTAGGGGAAAGAAGTGGAGTCTTTTAGCTATGTGCCATTATAAAAGATGGTCTAGATCTACGTGTCACTAAAAAATTCGAACGTACCTAGGTGCCATGTCGCTAAACTTTCTTACCTTCCACGCCATTTCGTTCACTTTGAGCTATAACGCTGTCTAACCGGGATGGGAGAAGTCCAAATTACCCTTGCCTGAACGCACGTGAGTGTAGAGGAGAGAGGCATTGAAGACAATAGTACATGACAGCGTGGGCCCAATAAAATAAAAAATCAACTTGTCAAGAGAAAAGGAAAAAACAACAAAGCCCTTATCCTGACTCCAGAAGCTCCCGTCCGCACCACGGGCCTAGCGCGGCTGATTTCCTGTGAGTGGAAGCCATGCCGACGGCAAAGGATGGCTGAGCGCCCACCCTGGGAGCCACGCGCACTAGCTGGTGCTCGCGATTCTGAGGACAGCGGCCTGTAGAGACGATGCTAATGCCGAGCGCCATAGACTCAGACGTGGAGCAGCACTGCAGCCACCGTCCCACCACTTCACACCCTTGAAGGCCAGGCCAAGGTCACCACCAAGCCCGCCTCCCGCTCCTCCTCCCCACGCTCGCAGGTCGAGATATGGTCGAGTTCACCATTCCTGCTGGTTGCCGCCACCATGGCTGCCGCGCATGGCAACCCGCAGCAACCCCCCCGAACGTAGGACAGCCACACCAGGCCATGGAACAGCGCCGGCACCCGCAGCACTAGCCTCCCTAGCATGGGCACATTGAAGACTATAGCCGGGAACGCCGACAGAGACGCGGCGGTGTTGACCAGCGTCATGCTCTGGACGGGCCCGGTGTTCGCCGACACAAACGTGGCCCCAGCCGCGAGCGCGAAGTCATGCAGCACGAGGTGGACGGGGGGCCTACCGAGCGCCTTCACGGTGCGTGTGACGACCGCGGCCACCTTGTCGGGTGCGTGCGGAGACCTCCACACCGGTGGGGCGGAGGCTGGCGCCTCCTGGTATGGTACCTCGCCGGTCTGCATGAGGTGCTCAAAGGCATGGAAGATGCCGTGGTTCATGATCTCCTCGAGCGCCATGGCATGGACGCCATGGGAGGAGGGCGACTAGAGGCAGCGCCTGTCGTCGACGTCCCAGACAGCATTGGTGGCCGCTGCCTCACCGTCCCCGTCGTGCTACGATTGCTCGCTGAACTTGGGTGGGGGAGGGGGGCAGTGTGGGGTGCAGGTCATCGCTAGAACTACTCGGTGGCACGCCGTTTCAGTGAATGGGTGGTCATCACCGTCAAAGGATCCGACGAAGGTAGTGTATAGCTCCCCGGTCGATGAGGGCGAGGGCGCGGGCTCGGCCCCGGCCATCGTGCAATGCCGCCTTCGCCGGCGTCCTCTTGACACGTGCGCTCCATCCTTGGAGTGGTGGTGCCGGTCGACGACCACGCACATGGGATGGCTGAACGGGCAGCAGGTCATGGTGGGAGTAGGCATGCAGGAGCTTGGAACGGCTGGCCGATGGGAGGAGCTGTGGGCGCAGTGGCCGACATCTTGCTCAACTTCCACACGCTGCTCCTGTCATGTTCCTCCATGGATGCGAGCGACCGGACTTGCCCCGTGGCCGCGCGGGCCATCCCCGGTGCCGGCGTCGCGGTCGCCGCCGTGTACGCCTTGCCCCACGCCGTGAATGTGTGGATGCCACGAGCTCCTCGCCCTGCCCTGTGGCCACATGGGCACTGCCCCGAGCGCCCCGCCCTGCCCCATGGTCGCACGGGTCATCCCCGGTGCCGGCATTGTGACAGCCACTGCGTATGCCCTGTCCCACGCTGCAGACGCGCGTGCCGTCTTCGACACCAGTAGCGTGGACGCCGCCACGACTGGCCCACCCCACCCCCACACGAGCGAGCTCCGCCCCGGCCACCGCGACTACCAAATTACAAGAGTGCACCAACTACCTACTCCTAAGGTACATAGTACAACAACTACCTACTCCTAAGGTACAAGGGTACACCAACTACCTACTCCTAAGGTACAAAGCTTAGCTCAGCCATCTCCACTCTACATGGTTGAAGTAAACCACTACTACTATGGCTTACTGCCTTACTGCTACAGCTATGGGAGCTGGTCGGTAGAGCCAATCAGTCTCCAACTCCCAACAGGGAGTGGTTAGCCAAGCCAACCATTCTCCAACAATGGAGAAACGGGAGCAGCAGATTATGTCTTACAATTCTTCCCCTAATCCTGCTGCTAACCCGATGCCTTGACCTCATCCATGCCAATCATCTTCCTCAGCTCCATGAACCGTAGGCACCCAAGTGACTTGGTGAGGATGTCAGCGAGCTGTCTATCGGTCTCAACAAACTCGATGACGATATGCCCTCCATCGATGTAGTCCCGAAGGAAGTGGAACTTGATTTCAATGTGCTTGCTCTTTTCATGGAGGATAGGATTCTTGGCAAGGGCGATGGCAGGCTGGTTGTCCACCATTAGAGCTAGCGGGTGAGATTCCTCGCGCGGTCAGC